CTTTTTTCCTTTAGCATAGCTAAAAACAATTTTTCTAAAATTCAAAGCACTGCCAAACTAAGCCGATATTATAAAGATCATTTTTGAACTGAGAAAATATATATTATAAGGGTTACTTTCACAAATAGCCCCTAAGGTTTACACTCAATCTCACTCTAGTCCTTGACTTTTCAAACGTCGTACAGATGGTTCTTGAGGTGTTATTTTATTTCAGTTTTAGTCCTTCCATTAACTAGGTGTTTAAATTTGATAGAATATGTGTAAATTAGAGTCTAAAATTAAAAACAACTAAAATTTTAGGTCTATATATAGAAATTAATTTTTAGTTTTTTGTATTATTTTAGTCTCTAAACTTTATATGTTTCTAATTTTAGTTTATAATTTCTAAAGATTCCATCAAATATTTAACACCAAACTAACAGAATCACCGAAATTGAAACAAAATAAAACTTTAGGCACTAATTGTGTTATGTTTAAAAAGTCATGAACTAAAGTAAGATTGATGCTAAACCTCATGTAGCATTTGTGATATTAACCCATATTATAAAGATAGAAGACAACAAATCAAAATAACTTCAGAAAGGTAGCATTTTCTAACATGATATATGAACCAGTTACAAGGTCCTTATACAGTAAGACCTAACATAGTTTGTGTATGTTTCTGACCATTTAAAATCACATAAAAAATATGCAAAATAAATAATATTTAGTAGAAAAACAGAGACCTTTTTTTTTTTTTTTTTTTTTTGGTCATACTATAGAAATCTAAAGAGAGAAATAACATCAGCAAGTGAAAGTGGTTAACATCTTTTGAATAGTTAGGTTTTTTTCTCAGCTTCCTTCGTGGTGCATTCTAAAATTCTGCCTATCAGTAAAGTGAGTATTTTTATGTTAAATTAATTGTTCAACGGTTAAATTTACAGCAGAAGCAAGTGATTGTGGTGTAAGACCCCGTTCATTTTACCGATTTAAGTTTAGAATTTAAATTTTACTACAGTAAAAGTTATAAAAAATAGTCACATTTAATTTTTTTATTACAGTAAAAAACTCTCACATAAAATCACATCTCAACTCAAATTAAAAACTTAAATCAGTGAACTAAACATACCTTAAATTTTTAATATGAATTTATATAAATCTAACCGTTAAAAATTTAATATAACAATAAAAATATACTGTAGATCACAAATAAAGAATGCACAGTAAAGTTTCCTACTTTTTTCCCCTCTATGAGAAATTTGAGAATTCTGGGAACCAGATTTTGGCCGTTGAGTTGGTCGTCATCCAGAAGGCGGGCAGTGGCTCAAGTCAAAATTGTGAGACTAGAGAGGTCTAGAAAGAGGAAACAGTCAAAAAGAGACTCGGGAGTTTATTGCACCTTTAAGAAAAAGTCGGGGGCAAATTTGGTAAAGTCAGCACCCAATTTGTGACTCTGACTTTCATGACATTTAATTAATAATAATGTCCTAACCTCTGGATTTTCCACGTTCCAACCATGCGACCACTGAATAGTATACGCGGCGAAGATTTTGGGCATATTTAAAACAATTCATTATTTATTTAATTATATGACGCGGCTTCTTGGGTCCCCCACAAACCTTTTTTTGTGGTTCGCTCGTTTTGTTCTTTATTTGCACCGAGGCCCTTGATCTTTTGGTTTATTTTTATTATTATTCACTTTCTTTTTTTATTTTACGAAACTTATAAAATAGTTTTCACTTTTCTCATTACCTCAAATTTCATTTTCACGTCAAATTACTAAACAAAAAATATTCAATTGACAACTAAGAATATGTTTGTTTTCACTCACTTTGGGAGGTTGGCAAATGCCAAATGATAATTGCTAAGTACATTTCAAATAGCAAAAGAAAGATAGTCAATAATTTTGGTGAGAAGTAAATTCATCTTTAATCACTACTTTTGTTTGCCTTCGTTGAGTAAGAACTCTATATAATTAAGTCAATATTGCACGCCTTGTCTTTAGTCATACTCTAAGACAATAAATAATTTTGAAAAGTATCCTAAATTCTAGTGGACAAATACAATTTGAAATACAAAATTAAACATTAAAATTAAGAACATATTCTAATCTACATCACTAGTTATTCAATTCAGTTAAGCTAAAATGAAACAACTTATGTGCAACTACAAAACTTGGACAAATCAATATGTAAAATTGGATTATTTTGGAAGATGTCTATAGACACAATTAATAACTCTAAGTTAAAACAAGTTAAAGTCACTTGAGTCAACTTAAATTTTTTTATTTATTTATTCTGCAAAATCAATTTTTATAAAAATTAAAGGTGAAATGAACCATTTTCAACGTTCAAAAAACATAGGTTGAATTATGATACGTATTTAAGGAGCATTTTTTATACGTTTTTTAAATAAATAACGGCTCAAGTTGTTTTTACTAAGTAAATCAACAATTTAAGTTGATTCAAATTTAAAGTATCTTATTCCTCGACAAGAAAAAGTGAGAGATATAAGTTAAAGGTATTTAATTAAAATTAACCTAAGTATAATTACCTAGGTGAAAATATAAAACTTGGATGTTGATTTCCTAAAATTAATGGCTTCTTTTAATGTGCACCCAAAATTGTGACCTACCGGTAGAGTAAGTGTTTTTATTGTTAGTTTAATTTTTTAACGGTTAAATTTACAAGAGGAACAGTTCTATGTGGCGCTATGTAACATTTAATATGGACTTGCACAGATTTATCCGTTAAAAATTTAATCTATCAGTCAAATGAGGATGCACCATAAAGTTTCCCTCAAATCACATGTAAAATATATTATTTGCAAGGATATTTATAGACTGATTAATAACTTTGTCGCTTTCTTTTTTTTTTTTTGCTGAATAATTAATTTCTTAAGTTATCTGAATTTAGAAGACAGAGTAAATGTAGAGGCATTTAATTAAAATATTAACCTAAAATAGAAGGGCATAAATGCAAATAAAACTCTAGTAAACCGAATATGCAAAAAGTGAAAAGAAAGAAAAGTTTCCGGAAAAAAAAAAGGAAGGAAAGAGCCAACGAAAGAGAGAGGAGAGAGAGAGGGCGGGGGAGAGAAAAACAGAGAGAATGCTCCTATATATTCGGCCTTCTTGTTCTTTCATTCTCCAAACCTAAAACTTTTATGCAACTCCCCATTTTCATGGGCGCCGACGTTTGGAACATCTTCTTACAATAAATCCTTCTCTCTAACTTTTCCCTCTTCTCTCTTATTTTCCTTCACTTTCTCGCCCCTTATTCTCCTCCGCCAAACACAATATCTAGAAGAGAGAGAGAGAGAGAGAGAGAGAGAGAGAGAGAGAAATGGGGAAATTCGTGGAGATTTTGGACCAAGGAGTGAGAATCGTGGCGAGATTCCATTCTCACTGCCCGCAGACCAGCCGTATGTACTACCATCCTCCTGCTAACGCCGACAACAACCACCACAACAACAACCATTTCCTCTTCTACGGCGGCGACGGCGGCGACGGCGATGTTAAGGTGATGAAGTGTGGGCCCAAGGCGATAGGCGGCGGCGCCGAGAATAAGGAGTTCATTCTTTACTCTGTCTGATTTGGTTACCAAAAGACAGAAAATTTTGTATTTTTCATTTTTTTATGAAGAAAAAAATATGTTCTTGTTTGTTTCTTTGGAAACCGAAAGAGAGAAAAGAGGATGAAGAAGAAAGAGAGAGAATTTGTGTTTCTGTAACAATTTTATTGCTATTTACTGTGACGATTAACAATTCAATTGTTCTTTTTTACTTAATCCCAACATTCTTCTATTGATTTGAGATGGTTGATGAATATAATTTAACTTCTTTAATTCTTTATCATTTCACTGCATTTGTTGTGGTGATTTTTGGGGAGCAAATTGGTTCTTATTATTTTTTGATAATTGTCGCAATAAAGAAAGTATCTTTCATATGTTTGCATCAAAAAGCAAGAATTTTTAAACATATGGCCAAAGGAGAGACGGTGGATTTGTTCGTTTTGTTGGATGTCCCAAAATTGGGTTTCTTGGATGTCCCAAAATTGGGTTTCTTGGATGTCTTACAGGACAATTCAATATATTTGACGAGACCATTATCACACAATAAATTACCATGGTTGCAGAATCTCAACCTGGCAGCTTGTTACCATGGGAGGCTACTTAAAATGTTGCATATCATGTACCAAAAAATGCTAGTTAATACCAGTAAGATCAGGGCAACAGTGGCGGGGCAGCTAAGGCGCGCCAGTGCTGGTCCAAGGTGATTGGCGGCGACGGTGCCAATCATGAGGAGTTCATTCTTTAAACAAGGAATTTTTTATTATTATTAATTTTTTTTAGTGGCGAGAATTGAGAAATTGTTGAGGAATAGTTTTTATAACTATTATTATTTGCTATTTTAGCATATTGTTACATTTGATGTGGTGATTGTGGGGCAATTTGGTTTTTAGGAATGAGAAGTTTGGGACTGATATCAAGGGGTTTCTGATAAAGTTTTTTTTTTTTTTTTTTTTTTTTTCATATTTTTAGAGCACAAAGGAAGAATTTTTAATCTAACCCGTGTGAACGTGAAATTGATTGTATACAGTTTTCGAAATGAAACCAAGAGCCATGGAAGAATGATGATAATCGATCAAATTGTGGCCAAGTCAAATGCATGGTTAGTGACTTTAACTCGATTAACAAAATTTTCTTTACAGGAAGGAAAAGAAAACGTGAAGCAAAGAAGATCCGATACTTCAGCAAACATTTGTTCCAACTTCCAAGGGAAATGACACAAATCTTCAGAGAGAAAACGGGAAATTATTTATTTCTCGGAATTGGACCAAATCGTTCTCTTAAAGAAATTCACAGCACGTGCAAAAAATGACCCAGATTGGATTCCTTGCATTTCTTATGAAACAACTCAACGTCGCAGCTCGTTACCATGGGGACCATCCAACAAATTGCATATGTATGTGCATGCATTATGTTGTATATAAAGAAGAACGAAAAAAAAAATCATGCATAAAAGAAAAAAGAAAAAAAACGTGCAAAAGTTGTATTAGAGGCAGGGAAAAATTTTCATACTTTCACACTCAGCATTCATCTGGTGGAGAAGGTTAACAGTGTTGGTCAAGCAGATAACTAATGTTTTGTTCCAAACTCAAATACAGATGCGCAACTCACATATAGATACACCACTCACTGATGAGTCATTCTAGGATTTTCAAAAGCACAATTCTAACACACTTTTCCAAAACATCAATATCCCTAGAGAGATTCGATTGCTCTAGCATTAACACTTCACTGACTATCTGAATGTGGCTTCCGGGCCAAGAAGAAATACATTGGTGTGAAGATCTCTTTCCTGAAAGACAGATAGCGATAAAATAATATCAGTAACCGAAGTTATGGAGCCATTTAGAATGATTTTTTATCAGTGGTTTGGTCTGTAAATTTAGATTTTGTGCTAGTAGATATCTCTATATCTCTTTGCTTAATGATTTCGTTAGCAATTTAGGTATGAGGCTCAAAAAACAAGGATCAAATTCCCAACACTAGTACATGTTTATCACCTTAAATCATCAGGAAGAGAAACAGAACTTCTAGCTTAGGAAGAGTTCCGGGTGGTGAGATAGAAGGAAGAGTTCCGGGGGAGGGGAAGGGTCCCCTCCCTTAGCGGCCTGCCATTCCGAAGGAATGGAGTAAGGGCCGACCTTACCATCCTCCCTCGTCCCGCCATTCCGAAGGAATGGAATAAAGGGACAACAAATAAAGAGTTAACGGCGGAAAAAAAAAAAAAAATTTATAACTATGGTGAAGTTGACTACTTACTTTCCACCTTCAACTAGCCCTTCTGCAGCTTTCTCAAGAAAATCTTGAACTCTCTGACTTCCCTTTGGGGCTAGGCCAATAGCTTCCAGGGCCTTCACCTACACTCATAAACTGCTTTCATTGTTTGGAGCAAAAAAAGAGTAGTGCAGTTCTCAATGATACACAATATCAGCGACATAATGGAAGAGTTCCGGAATTATAAATGAAAACTAATCATAATTATAGGCTGAAATGAATCATAGATCTTACCATGTTCTTGGTAATAAAACGCCCAACAGCTGTTAAACGGAAACTACTCAGCGAGAAGTGACTTTTGTCCAAAGGCAAGTACCAAGGGACTGGCGAGTCCGCCGCAAGATCTTTCTCCCATATGACCTTTTGCCACAAGGTAATTAAAACAGAAAAAAAAAATAAATAAAAAAACATTTCTATTATAACGCAGTCGTAATATATGGATTCATAACAAAGAACTTGAAACCAACCTCAAAACCTGCTTGTTTTAGAGCTTCAAGGCATTTTCCCGTCAACCTGATGTCTGGGAGGCCATCACCAATCTCAATTTCTGCCTGCATCAACGGACTTTTGTTAAAAAACTTTAAAATGGCAAAATCTATCTATAATAATAATAATAATAATAAAGAAAAAGAAGTGAAACAAAAGAGTAATTTCTGAAAATGAGTTTTTCTGTGCCTTAAGCGTTTGTTACCTTGATCTTTTGATGTTCTTGGTTGTTGGGATCGAATGAATTAGTCATGCACCACTCGTATGCAGCAAAATATTGGCCTGGCTTCAAAACTCTGTATATCTCCTTATAGCATCCGTACTAGCCACATGAAGAAAAAAAGTACTTTAACCAACAGTAACCAACAAGGAAAAAGAATGAAGCATCAATACGAGAGATCTATGTTGCAAGGGACGGAAATGACATACTGCATCTGGTGCATGGCAAGTGGCTTCAATTGCATATACTGCATCAAATGTATTGTCAGAAAACGGCATTTTCATGAAATCAGCCTGCAAAATTGAGAAAACGAAAGCTTTAATTATATCTTACAATGTAAAGAATTTCTTAAATATTTGAAAAACAACTAATGCAGAAAAAATTACAGAAACAAATAATGGAAAACGATTGAACTGAAGTGAAATGAGTCTAGAAGAAGACCATGAACTTGAAAGGCAATACCACCAACCTTAACAAAATCACAGGACTTGTCCACTCCCACAATCCGGTTCAGTTCCTATATAGAAATTGAGCCCCGTATATAAAAACCATTTGAAATCAAGCATTCCATATTGAAAATATAGGTCAATTGCTCTGAGCCTTAAACCTCCATTAAATAGACCAAAATGGTCATTTCCTTATCCGGAATTAATTGGCATCATCTTGTCGGCAAAAGCATTATCTAATGAAACCATCCATTTTATTTAAGATAATTAAAGCATTACATCTCACCAGCTTTTCTTTTTTTTTTTTTAAAGATAATATTGCATTAAATCACAACCACAACAGGACCAACAATTAAAAATTAAATAGAGTGTGTTTGAATAAGTGAACAAGTCTTTCTTTTTATTACATATGAAAGTACCTTTCCTCTTGATATCTGATATTCATTGTTGTTCAACCCCGTAACAGAAGTTGAGCTGCAAAAGTCCATAAAACAATTATTGTCAGCGGACCTCCCTCTTCACACAATTTAATTAAAATCTCTGCTTGACATGAGAATAGCATTTTAAGTGTCGGAAGTAAAAACAATAGATTTATAATATTAAAGATGTTGTTAGTTTTATCACATAGTCAATTAAGATTTTGAAATGCGATGGGTCTTTGACTCTTTGCAGCAAGCATAACTGTTTGAAACAGATGCAATTCTCAAATGAAACAATGAATAAAATCCAACACTCTAATAAGCCCAATCCCTAATTCAAAGCATGATCTTCCACATTATTTGTAATTCATTTACAATAGATACACAATGTGGGGCCACCTCAACTAGGAAAAACAAAAAGATTATCCACCTGAATCGAGCAATCTCTCTTAGTGGACCCCCAATTCCACAGCCCACATCTAACACCTAAAACACAAGGAGCAAAATAGCAGAGGTTAACTATCTGAACCATATAGCAAAAAGGGTAAAACTCAATCCCTCTCTTTTCTTGAATGTTGCATTGAAGACAACAAACCTTCTGTCCTGGTTTCAGTCCTAGTTGTAAAGCAAGGAAGTGCTCATGCCGCTTAATGCTCTCCCGAAGAGACTCTCCCTTCCATCTGAAAATATTAATTGTAGTTAATCAGAACTCTGAGAAAAAGCAGCAACAAAAACTGACTATAAAGAGCAGGATACAAAAAAAAAAAAAAAAAAGGCACCTGTGTGCAAAATGGAAGGATTCTCCCCAGCCAAATTCATAGAAACTGGTAACGAGGTCATAATATTTATTGACCTGAAATCCACAAGCAAGAACAACGTAACGGAACAACTCCTTACTTTTGAATGATATATCCACACAATTTGACATTCTCTTATTGCTACTACTTATGACCAAGAAAAAGCTTCTATTACCATGTCGGTGTAGTTAGCTTTTCTCTCTTCCTCTTCACCTCCGTAACAGACATGATACTTCTCATACCTGAACCACCATTTAGCAAATTAAATTATACATTAACATCTTGATCATGATTTCGGGAGATAAGAAACCAAATCAACCATAACTTTCATAACAAATCATATTAAATTCTGCAATTCAAAAAATAGTCAAAACAATCTTCAGGTATTTGTGGCGTCAACTGTCACCTGACATGGTCAGCAACAGTTTATGCAACTCATATCTCAACTGTACAAAATTGATTGACACTACAGTAAAGAGCATTTCGGCGGTACAAATAAAAACATGCACGTTTTCTGTATCATTGTACAATAGAAGAAAATCCTAAGCTACATCACTACATGAAGAAATACAGTTCAACCAGGAAGACCTTTTTGAAAAAAAAAAAAAAACAGAGAGAAAAAAAACACTTTTCTTAAGTAAGTTGATTCATATAGTCGGTGTATATAATTGAGGAAGATTACTACTACTACAAAAAAAAAAAAAAAAAAAAAAAAAAAAAAAAAAGGAAAAAAAAAAAAAAAAAGGAGTCAAAAACCAAGAAATAAAGTGATGTAACTAGGTAGATACCATATCCAAATAGTTCAGATATAACCCATATGATATTACACTTATTAATAAAGTCATTTCCGATTAAAAAAAGCAATGACCAAGTATATGCTGGTCCAGAAAAATTGGTCAGAATGGGATCTTTAAGGGGATATAAGTATAAGAACAGAACTTCACAGTTCACCCAAATGAAAATTACCTTTAGCAGTAGTAATAAAAACTTCAAATTTCTTTGTTACCCAGGTTTCCCATGATTTCATTTTCAATTCTCTTTAAATATAACTTAATATAGCTAATGAGATCTGCACTCTGACAAGACAACAAACCAAATTTCTTCAGTTCATTTATTATTCAACTATTCATTTATTTGGTAGCCAAACAAAAAACCCTGGCCATACACAACCAACAATTTTCTTTTTCATTTTGGCTAGACCTGGACCATACATACACATAAATACAAATATTATATTATATATGTGTGTGTGTGTATATATGTATATGTACACACATCCGCACATCACGTGAAATTAAGCCTGACCGGGTCTTGCTTAATTAGCGCAAAATACCAGAAATAAACTCTTTAATTGAGCTTTTTCAATAAAGCAGAGATTTTGGAATCAGAATCAAACCACACAATGATCCACAGATAAACATCATTGTAGAGAGAGAAGGTACTGAATATGTAAAGAGAGAGAGAGAGAGAATGTACTTTTCGACGGCGGAGAGGACATCGCTTTTGTCGATCTTTCCGCCGAGACCCGACGCGAGATCCAATGCTCCGGCTTTCGACATCTCGTAGATTACTCCAAACACGAACTCGCGAAGATCTAGAAAATTAAGGGGAAACAAAATTAAATCGAACATGTTGTAGAACAAAAGAGATGAGTAATGCGCCAGATTGTCGGAGAAAAAATGTGTTTGGATTGGAGGAAAATGCAGAGAAAAGTAAGAAAATTTACATTTAAAAGAAAAGAAGGATCCGAAACTGAAAGAGAAAACGAGAGAGACGGACTTTTGCAGTGGAGGAGAGAGAAATTGAGGAAGTGCAAGTTTCCCGTATATATATAGAGAGAAAAATGGAACTGATTGTCATTATAATTTTTTTTTCTTTTTGTTAATTAAATGATAACTATTTATTTTTTTGTGTAGTAGCAACAAAAAATATTTTTTTACCATAGATGACATTTTTATTTTTTCCCTAATTTTTTTGACAAAATTTTTTTACAAATAACACATAAATAATCACTGCAAGTCAATATTTCATTTACTTTAAATTTTAAGAATTAATAACTGTTCATAATTAAACTCATTGCAATACTACTAATGAAATTTGATTTAATATTAAGAGGGAAATCAACCTTTATTTGCCTTCTAACTTAAAGTAATCTTAACAAATACCTTTTAAAATATATGGATCAAGATTTTTATTTTTTTATTCTTAATTTATAATCTTTTTAGTTAAATAATTATACTAATAAAAAAATATTTATCAAGAATAAGTGGTAAAAATTTAGTTTCATAATAAATTCTCTATTTTTTTTTCTAAAGACTTAAGACAGCCGTCTCTTTGCTTGTTCTATATGGTTGTGCAGGCCTTAAAAATCAAAAGTTTAACATTTTGAGTTTTCTTGTTTTTATTTTGTTGTCTTGTAATGTGGTAAATTATTTCTTCTACTCAAAAACAAAGAAAGAGTACTTCTTGGTGTAAAATGTGCCACCCTTTGACGCAAATAATGCATTCTTTTATTTTACAACTCTTTTAGTAAAAAATATATAAAAATTTCTCATCTTTGACAAACTTAGCAAAGTATCAAAATGTAGTGGAAAACACAAATAGATAATAATAATAATAATAATAATAATAATAATAATAATAAATCACTACGTTAATAGCTATTTACGGCTGTTCTTTCAATGGGGCTTTATGGTTATTTCATTAACCAATTTAAATTCAAAACTTTTATTCTAAAAAAAAAAAACAGTTTTTTTGCACTACCTTTGTGATGATTTCACTTTCAGAAAAAGAAAAAGGTAATCTAATTCTGTACTCCAAAACTTTGATCGTCAAGCCTTGGTGAATAATTAACTTCAATAGATACGTTTTTCAGATATATTTCAATTTATTGAATTGTTAGATTAGAGATAAATATGGGAGAAAGATACATATATTGATTTTCATTTTTCTAGCTAGAAGAAATTGGCTAATTATTTGCTTGTGGAGCAGCTTTCAAGGATTATTTATACAATAAATAAAAGAATCAAGCAGTGGACAGCGCAGAGAGGAATGTCTTTTTCTCTGACGACAATTGGGGGGCTTTGAATCTTGTCGCCACGTCAGCACACACGTGGGTGCCAGCCTCAGTTCCCTCTCTTTGTTCAGTTGTTTGATGAGTAACGTTATGGTTATTTTTTTTTATTTTTTATATTTATTATTTGACACGTAAATTTTATTTTATTTTTTATTTTTTATTTAAATAATAATATATTATATTTATGAAGTTTACGTATTAAATAGTAAATATAGAGAATAAAATAAATAGTGATGTTAATATTTTTCTTGTTTAATTTATTTATTTTTAATTCTAGCCTCTCTAGTGGAACTCAAAAAACCTTCCATAGAACCTTTGCTTTTAACCGTTTGATTACTTTTTTAATAATTAAATCTGTAAAGAGAATAATTTTGTGTGGTACGTTATAAATTTTTAATACGGATCTGTACATATCTAATTATTAAAAATTTAATCCAATAGTTAAAAATAAGGCTTCCACCAGTAAAAGTATCTAATGAGTTTCACTGTATAATTTGCCTTAATTCTAATCTTAATTTTTTTTTATAAAAAGAGCTAGCTCTACAGTGGCCATTATGAGTACTTTAGTGACATTTTCCATAAATGCAAATGGAGCTCAAGAAAAAAAAAAAAAAAAAAGTTCTTTATGACTTATGTGTACTTCGCTCTCCCTTTGCTATCTTAAAACTCAAACGGACAAAATTTCAAATTGTTGTTCTGTTCCCTAAACTCAAACCCAAAAGTTGAGTCGTAACTCAATAAAAGCACCATATTCTAAAGAAAAAGAATTATATTCCCTTCACTTTTTATTATTCACAACTCAAGTTACATAACTAAACACAAACTCAAATTAAATTCTCAATTCAAACCTTAACTCTACACAAAACAAATTCAAGTATATAATTTCAACTCAAATTTAACTTTTAACTTAAAACTCAAATCATGGAAAAGAACACTTTGGAAATTCGTTATTAAATCACTAATTTGTAAATAAAAATTTATTATTCAGCAATGCCACAAAGCGCTCTGTAGTCTGTATCTTTTGGTTTTATTTTTATTTGTGCATGTCACGTGAGCTTCACCTGGATTCGCAAACAACCAATGTGAAATATTTTCTGACACTTCTCCCCCCGCCCTCAAAAAGAAAAAAAAAAAAAAAGAGAGTTTATTTAAGAGGATAAGAAAACATGAATTATTGATAATTTTATTTCAGTTGTTATATTTGTCTGAAATTATCTATTTTATATATATTTTTAATTTAATATGATTTTAATTAAATTTAACAATAAAAAACTAGTTACACAGATAAAAAGATTATACCGGAGAAAGTCCAAGAAAACGATAATATATATATATATATAAAGCACATTTTACTTATACTAAACGACACTAAATTTTAGGATACATCTAAACACCATATGCTTTCTCTGTCTTCAATAAAAGACAGCAAACTTACAGGCTAAAATCCGGATGTCGTTTACACAAACTTGAACGACAGAGAAATGACAACAAAGTCTTAGATGACATTTGACGTTGTCGATTTATAGATGACGTTGTAGTTAGATATGGAAACTTTCAGAATGCCATCAAAAGCATTTCTGTTATGTTATCATTTGTAAATTTATCATTTACGTTAATATTCTGACAAGATATCTTTCATATTTTACTAAATATTTTTTCTATTCGAATATTTTTAATATTTTATTGGAATACGTTTCATATTCTGCTAGAATATTTTTTAATAACATAAATAATAAGATGACAAAAAAATATTGATAATTTTCACTATCTAAGAAGGCTTGTCCGGGCATGCCCTTATTTGGGCTTAGACAACAACAAACGGTCACCTAAACCATGTGTCGTTGTTACCAAACAATTTCAAAGTTTTCAGTAACTTTATGTTGAATTTCTATCAAAACAATGTTTTTGTTGGAAAACAGTATTTCAATTAGTAAACGACAATGTAGTTTGATATATAAAATGAAATGTCGCTATTAGGCTCAAACGAGAAAAGCAATTAACACATAACCCGCGTGTCATTTACTTACAAAACGACATTAAAGTGTGTGTGTGTGTGTGTGTGTGTGTGTGTGTTTATTTTTTTTTTTTTAACTGTTAATACATCCAAAATAAACGACATCAGCGTTCTAGTAATAATGTTTTTGTTGAAAAGTGGTACGTCGAAAACGAAAAGGTTGTTTTATAACTGAGAAGGCAAGTCGTTTCTGGGCTCAAACGACAACGTAAATGAACTTCAATAGTAGTTTGATACTACAGACACGACATGAACGTCCTTTTATTTTCTGAAGGAACGACATCAACGTTTTTAGTAACAGTAGTGCCTCTGTTGAAACACAACATGTCGATTTGTAAACCAAAAACTATTTTTTATATTTGAAAAGACATGTCGTTTCTAGGATCAAACGACAACACACGATTAATGCATGAAAACGTGCTTCTCAAACGACATCAAAGCTTTGCTGAAAAACAATATGTTGACTTATAAACGACAAAGTAGTTTCATGTCTAAAAATGCATGTCGTTTTCAAGCTTAAACAGCAACAAATGGTTGATACATAAAACAAATGTCGTTTTTTTGGCTTGAACGTTGATAAGAAGGGTAATAGTGTTAGTCAAAAGCGGATAACAATTGTTGCAAACTTCAATACCGATGAGCAACTCATATTGTAAAACACAAGAGAGGGAAAAGGGAAGAGAGAAGAAGAAGGATAAGAAGAGAAATTAGGAGAACGAGGAGGAGAAATTTCGAAGAGAGAGAGAGAGAGAGATTCTTTATTTTATATTCATTCATAGCTTGAATTGTCTCAAAACAATGTAGTCAATTTATAGACTAATTACATAATTAAAACAGAAAATCAAATTAAATACACAAAATCATAATAAAAAATCAATTTCACAATCAATCAAATCCCTTCCAATCAATTTCCCGATCATCTAAATCAATCCCAATCAAACATAGTTTTTCCAAAAGATCAAAATCCCTTGAGAGATTCAACTGCTATAGCATTAGAACTTCACTCACTATCTGAATGTGGCTTTCGGGCCAGGAAGAAATAAATTGGTGTGAAGATCTCTTTTCTGAAAGACGATTATCGAGAAGATAACATTAGAAATTAACCGAGTTATGGTGTCTTTTATGATTAACTTTTGAATAGTGATTTGTTCTGTAAATTTAGGGATTGTTCTTTTGGAGTGTAACTTGAGTGTAGTTTTTGAGTTGAATTTAAGTTATAACTTGAGTTGAAGTTAGAACTTGAATAAAATTGAGTAAAATTGAATAAAGTTAAAATTTAAAAGAACGTAAACTTGAATAAAGTTGAAACTTGAGTTATTTTTTTTTTAATTTTTTGGACAAAAGAACATGTAGATTTTGTGCTACTAGATATCTTTTTATCTCTTTTCATAATGATGGTTTGGTTATCAATTCAGGTATAAAGTTCGGAAACAAATGATCAAATTCTCAACATGTTCACATACTTACACTTTCTACCTTCAAGAGGAGAAATGAAAGATTCTATCACAGGAGAAAGAAAAGAAAAGAAAAGAAAAGAAAGAAAAAAAAAAAAAAAAAAAAAAAAAAAAAAAAAAAAAAAAAAAAAAAAAAAAAAAACCTATGGTGAAGATGACAACTTACTTTCCACCTTCAACTAGCCCTTCTGCACCTTTTACAAGAAAATCATGAATTCTCTCACTTCCCTTTGGGGCTAGGCCAATAGCTTCTAGGACCTTGACCTACATTGGTGTAAGACTTGACACTTAAAACTACTTTCAATGATATTGCAGTTCTCAAAGTTAAAAATATACGATACCATTTACGAGAATGAAGGACTCAGATCATTTATTTTATTTTTAAACTTTTTAACGGTGTTGTACGATTTGGTTTGTTAGATATCATTTTGAATACGAAAATTGAGCATGTGATACGAGAGTGTTCCAAAATGTTTAAGGAAAAATAATAATTCTTGTAGGCTGCAAATGTATTAGAGATAGATCTTACCAAGTTTTTTGTAATGAAACGGCCAACGACTGTTAGACAGAAACTAGTCAGCGAGAAGTGAGTTTTGTCCAAAGGCAAGTACCAAGGGACAGGCGAGTCCAATGCAAGATCTTTCCCCCATATGACCTTTTGCCACAAGGTATTAAAATAGAAAAAATTAAAATTAAAATAAAAAATCATTCTAATATAATGTCGTCATACCTATGGATTCAGAATAAAGAACTTGAAACCAACCTCAAAACCTGCTTGTTTTAGAGCTTCAAGGCATTTTCCTGTCGATCTGATGTCCGGGAGGCCATCACCGATCTCAATTTCTGCCTGCGCCAATGGAAGTTTTCATATAAACTTTTAAAATTTAATATCAAAGGCCATTTATACAATTTTGTAACTAATATCATCTTGAACTTTAAAGTCATTATTAGGCTGTCTTTTAAATTTTAAAAACTCACTTTTTAATCCCACTTAATTCCATTTCTATTTGTTAGCATTTTTTAAATTAGATGAAAAAAGAGGTTATATGTGGTTAGACAGCCTTTTTCGTTTTTTGTTTTCATAAATTCTAATAGAAAGACCCGTGACTATATTACTTATTTTTCCTTTTTTTTAAAATAAAAATTCTAACTAATGGAGCTAGTTCAAAATTCAAGATGTAAAGGTAGAAATTTTAAAGTTCAATGGCAAACTGAAAATAACCCTAAAGGTTGAGGGGTACAAATGAGAATGACAACACAATTTAACATCAAAAAGCAAGGAATAAAATGTTATATGGCAAAAGATATGTATGTGTTTAGAGTGTCTTTTACCTTGATCCTTTGATGTTCTTGGTTATTGGGGTCATATGAATCAGTCATGCACCACTCATGTGCAGCAAAATATTGCCCCGGCTTCAAAACTCTATATATCTCCTTATAGCAGCCGTACTAACCACATATAGGAAAAAAAGAAAAAAGGAAAAAAGCAGAACATTAAGAATTAGACGCCTTAATCTTAAATAACCGAGAGCAATAAAAAACGCGAAAAAACTAAATCAAAGAAATTCGTACACAAAATTTATAAAAGCTTACCTTAATGTGAGACTACATCTTATGAATAAGGCAATAAATCATCAGGATAATTAGAAAAACCATCTAGAAAAAAGAACAAAGAACTATTACAAGAGGTGTTTGTTGCAAACGTACCGCATCAGGTGCATGGCAAGTAGCTTGAATTGCATATATTGCATCGAATGTATTGTCAGAAAATGGCATTTTCATAAAATCAGCCTGCAAAAATTGAGGAACAAAAACAAAAACTTTAATCACATTTCCGTACAATATTAGTTATAATTCCATAAATTGTCCCGAGAAAAAAATAACATAAATAAATAATGAAAAACGACTTGAAGTTAAAATGCAATATTACCACCAACCTTAACAAAGTCGCACATCTTGTCCACTCCTGCAATCCCGTTCAATTCCTGTGTAGCAATTGAAGCTCGTAAATTATAACACTGCAATATTTTAAGCATTTCATATTGAAAATTATAGATAAATTATTGGTCCGAGCCTTAAACCTTCATTAAATAGACCAGAATAAATTGGCTTCATCTTGTTGGCAAAAGGATTATCTAATGAAACCATCCAGACCTTTTTTGAAGATAATTAAAGCACTACTCCTAATTAACAAGTTTATATATATAAATCCTTTTCTTTTTATTACGTACAAATGAAAGCATTTACCTTTCCTCGTGATATCTGATATTCGTTGTTGTTCAACCCTGTAATCGAAGTTGAGCTGCAAAAAACCATCAAACAATTATTTAATTACAATCTCTTCATAACGTGACAAGAGCATTTGAAGTATTGGGACTAATAACAACAGTTTCACCATATTAAAGCTATTCTTTGTTTTTTTTTTTTTTGGATAGAATAAAGCTGTTATTTGTTAACAACAAGAACCCGTTCATTTCGCTGATTCGAGTTTAGAATTCGAGTTTTACTACAGTAAAAAGCTCTCACAAACAATCACATCTAACTTTTTTGCTACAGTAAAAAGTTCTCACATAAAATCACATCTCAACTCGAATTAAAAACTCGAATCAGCGAAGTGAACGGTACATTGTCAATTATATGGAAATTAGAAATGATCTTCCACATACAAAAACCGATGTCAAAGAATCTTTAACAACAGTTCTTGACGGGTACACAAGGTGGGCCCACATGATCAACTAGGAAAAATAAAGAACGCATTTGAAACTCGTTTCAAAATGATTTTGCTTTTTGTATGAAAATGGAAATGAAAACGTTCTCAATCTCATATAGAAATCATTTTTGAAAATGCGTTTGGTAGTTTTATTGAGAGATTGTTTTCAGTGTAAAAAAATCCATTAATGTCTCTTTCTCTCTCTGCTCGAGAGAGGAGAAAACGAAAACAAAAAATGAAAAACGACTAAAAGTCGTTTTTCATTTCTCTCTCTTTTACACTAAACAAAAAAATCACTTTTATTGTGCCAAACGCTGTTTTGAAAACGTTTTCATTTTTTCTTTCTCGAAAAACGTAAAAAAAAAAAACGGGATCAATTATAAACACGGCCAAAAAAATTATCCACCTAAATCGAACAATTTCTCTTAGAGGACCCCCAATTCCACAGCCCACATCTAACACCTAAAACACAAGGAGCAAAAAAGCAGAGATCATTAATTACTATCTGAACCATACAGCAAATTAGGGTTGGAACAATATTAGAACTCAATCTTTTGCTTTTCTTGAGTGCTGTATGGAAGGCAACAAACCTTCTGTCCTGGTTTCAGTCCCAGTTGTAAAGCAAGAAAGTGCTCGTTCCGCTTGATGCTCTCCCGTAAAGACTCTCCCTTCCATCTGAAAAATGATGATTGTAGTTAATCAGAACACCGCGGAAAAACGTCGGCAAAAATTGACTTTGAGGAGTAGGACAAAATAAAACGGCACCTGTCTGCAAAATGGAAGGATTCCCCCCAGCCAAATTCGTAGAAACTGGTAACAAGATCATAATATTTATTGGCCTGAAATCCGCATGAAGGCAAGAAAATGTAAGAGAACATTTGATTTATGAATTTAAAATTATTCTCAATTTACGTGTATTTTTTATGAGAAAAAAATACTGTAACGAGCCACGAAATATGATCCAAATCATGACACAAATCCTTACTCTAAACGCACTCTAAGTGATCGAAGCATAACTCATTTCTGAAAACTAGCTCAAGGAGAGTGAGTGCGCACTCCACATATAAATACCATAACAGAAGCCCGATAACTTGGTGATGCGGGACAAATTCAACTTCTAATCCTAACAAAGAGCGCTACAAAATTGCTAGTCTTGCCAACATACAATATATCTATGAGTTTTGGCTCATATAACTAATATCCATCCATCTGAAAATTCAATATAGCTCCTAGTCTTCACATTGTTCCACACAGCTTAATATTCTCATGTTTCTTATAGTACCAATTATTATCATCAAGAAAGAATAATTCTCTTACCAAGTCAGAATAGTTAGCTTTTCTCTCTTCCTCTTCTCCTCCGTAGTGGACATGATACTTCTCATACCTGAACCACAATTATATATGCAAATTATAAATTCTACATTAACATCTTGAATAATGAATATTATTATGTTGTTTTCTACAATTCATACAATAGTCAAACCAACTTTTTATCTTTGTGGTGTCAACTCAACCCCTAAAATGAAAACAAAGCAAAAACCATTTTGGCTAAAACAAAGCACTTTTTGATGAGGAATTAGATTATGATTATTTTAATATTTAAATATGAGTTTAGGATTATATTTATCTTTTTATTATTTTAAATTTATTTATGTTTATCTTCTTTTTAAAATAGAATTAGGCTTTTATTCTCTGTAAATACATTAGTGATTGTAATTCTTATTAAGGCTTTTGATGATTAATAATATTGAGATTATTGGTTTCTTTTTCTTTTGAGTTCTTGTTCTTCCTGAATTTTTATCTCTCTCTTGATTATTCTTCTCTATCTTAATTCCGTTTCTCCTTATTGATTATGTTATCTCTCTAAATTCTATCTCTGTTCTTTAATTCTATCCGGTCCTGCATCACTTTTCTTTTACGTATTCTACAATAGAAGAAAATCATAAGCTGCACTAGTACTACAAGAAATACAGTTGACCTAGGATTTATTATTATTATTATTATTATTATTATTATTATTATTCATTTATTTATTTGTTTATTTATAGGGTAGTTGATATATAACTTGAGGAAGAATTTGTTCTTTTGGAGTAAAACTCAAAAAAAATTTGAACTCAAGTTACAACTTTTTTCAAGTACATGTTTGTTTGTAAAATTTGAGTTTGAACTTGAGTTTTAACTTGAGTTTAGGACTAAAATCTGAGTTCAAGTTTCCTTTTCAACTCAAGTTCTTAAACTTAAACTCAAGTTAATGAACAATATTTTTTCTATTATTAAAAATGTTATAACTTTTTCGTTTTAATTCCGATTGAGATGATTTTTTTTCTGTGCGTTCACAACGAAGAGAAGAATAAAATCTCACCCACATACCCTATTAAAATTTTTCATCACTATTGAGTTTTTATTAAAATACTACCTAAATACAAATTTAAATTTTAATCTACTCAAACACAAACTCAAATAGATTCTCAATTCAAATCATAACTTAAATGTGCACATCCAAACACAAACGCAAGTTACAACTTCAACTCAAATTATAACTCAAATTCAACTCAAAATCTATACTCAAATCACCATAACTTAAAAATGTAACCGAACAAGCCTTAGCTGCTTCCAAAAAGTCAAAAACCAAAAGACGTATCTAGGTAGATATCATATGATCTAAGGAAAGTAGTCAAAGAATATTTAATTAACATATTTACCCCATATATATTTATATATATATATAATATTACTCTTTTTGATGACTTCATTGCAGATTAAAACAAACCAATGATTGAGTGTTTCTGGTCTACAAAACTTGGCGAGATCAGGTTCTTATGGGGATATAAAAAATAGAACTTCACAGTTCACCCTAAAGAATTATTAGGAGTATTAGTCCCTGAATTATGAGCTTAGTAACATTTTAGTCCCTGAATTATTAGTTTTGATATGTTACTCCGTGAACTTTCTCTCTATATGGACTAAATTTTGACGTTTCTCTTTAAGTATAACTTCATCCTAGTTATCATTTTTCATGGTTCAGAATCAAACCATGTAATGATCCACAGAGAAATATCATTTAAATGACACTTCATTGTAGAGAGAGAAAGTGTACTATTGAGGAGAGAGAAAAGGTACTTTTCGACGGCGGAGAGGACTTCGCTTTTGTCAATCTTTCCGCCGATACCTGACGCGAGATCCAATGCTCCGGCCTTCAACATCTCGTAGATTATTCCCAAAACAAGCTCACGGAGATCTAGTAGTATAAGGGAAAGAAAAACCAGAAAATTATTCGTTACGTTGTTGAACGAGCAATTAAGAGCAATGCACGCGATTGTAGAAAAAATGTATTTCGTTAATTTGTACAATGTAGAGCAAAAGAAAAGTAATTCCATTGGAAACTGGAAAGAAATGAGGATATTGAGAGAAAATTAGGATGGCAGCGGAGGAAATTGAGGAAGAGGAGTTTCGTGTGCCTCTATATATATAAACATATATATATATATATAGAGAGAGAGAGAGAGAGAGAATTTTAAATATGAATTTAGGTGTTGTCTCCAGTTTGGCACTCGGAGAATAAGGGACGATAAGAGTTTTCTTGTGATTGATATTTGTGGTTTTTGCTGAATAATTGATAATCGTGGTTTGCATGCATATGCTTTGTGTCTAAAAATGAGAGAAGCAACACCACGTGTAAGGTGAAGGAAGACATTTCATGTGCCTTTCAGGTTGCGTCTCAGACAACCAATATATACATATACATATACATATACATATGTACATGTATGCATATACATATTGATGAAAACCAAAGCATATATATTATAAAAATGCAAGTATCCCAACGAGCTCTTCTCACGATCTAACGTGCCTTCCAAATATGTCCAGTTGTCGTTTTTTTTTTATTATGTGCATATTATACACACACATACACATATAATTACAAAATACAAATCCATTAAAGAAAGTGACAGGTGATCTTTCTAAAAGATATGTGATCAGGAAAAGAAATCCTTCGTATCTTCCATTCTTTCAGATTTCATAGTGCAACATCAATCTCATCTCATCTTTTGTGTAAAAAAAAAAAAAAATGAAAAAAAAAATCATATTTTCACGTGTTAATTTCACTAAACGACATCAAAGTTTTCAGAAATTTTACGTTGATTTGCCGTCGAAAACAAATGTTTTGTTGAAAAGTAGTACTTCAATGTAAACGATAATTCAGTTACGTTCAAGATTTAAAAAAAAAATGCAAACGACAACGTAGTTTGATATCTAATAAAAACGACAAAAAGCATAACACAGACCACGCGTCGTTTGGGCTATCAAAAAGTCGTACTTCAATGTAAACGATAATTCAGTTACGTTCAAGATTTAAAAAAAAATGCAAACGACAACGTAGTTTGATATCTAATAAAAACGACAAAAAGCATAACACAGACCACGCGTCGTTTGGGCTATCAAGTAACATCTCTTGGTGGGCCAGAGGACATCATCGCATGGTCCAAAGCCCAACAAGGAAATCGCTGATGGCTTCCAAGTCCAAACTAAAACCTATAAACGGCTATAGTTGAGTGAGTGGGCCTGATATGAAAGGCTGAAATTAATTGGATATTTTCGTTATTTTAGTTCGGGTAATTGACATCTACGTTCCCTAAACCCTTGAGTATTAACAGTTTAGTCCATATTTGAACCTTTCTGTCAGGCTTTTGTAAAAATAATTTAATAGAAAAACTTTATTCATAAAATGACAATTCAAAAATTTTTATTTGTAAAATGACTTTCTAAGAAGAAAGAAAAACGAAAAAAAAAATCGGAACTTCACCCCACCCCACGGATCCACTGCTCAGCTCGATCCGAATCGCCACGTTCTCGACCTTCTCAAGCCTCAACGTCGCGATCGTGAACGGCGCGATCAATGGCACGTTCAGAGCCCTGCTCTCCGCCCTCTGAATGTTCACCATGCTCGTCTCCATCAAGTTTTTGAACCCGAACCTCGCCGGCGTCGTTGCCAAGGCCATTCTTGGCGTGATTCTCGAGGTGGGTCTCGGCCTTTTGAGGATTTGGATGTGACGGAGGACCGGAGGTGTTGAAGAGCATTGTGGGGTGTCGAGAGGGTAAGTGGGGACATCTGGTGAAATGGGTTTTGGAGTTTTGTTGTTGGTGATGTCTCCCTCTCTCTCCAATGGGGTTGTGACAGGTGAGGAAGAGATGTTGAGAATTGCCATTATTAGGTTGCTGTGGAAGAGTTTTTTGAACACGCAGAGAAGACCTGAGAGGATTTTTTTAATGCGGAATCTTAAATTGTTTGGGCAATTAAAATTAAAAAATTATTTTCCTAATTTTACTTTTTTTACTCGGTTATTTTAGCCAAATTCTCTTAATCCTAAACCCGTTGATGATTTAACATAATAGGTCATGTGCAATGCATGTGGTATGATAGTGAGGGGTATTTATGTAAAATGACAATTTATCTCTCATGAAAAAATTAAATAAAAAACAAAAACAATAATTAGATTAAACTGAAGTGCACATATTCTAGGAAGAAAAGAAAAGAAAGAAAGAAAAATTAAGAGTCTATTTGATACATGAATTAAAATCATGTGATTAGAATTATTTTTAATTTACGTATATTTTTTGTGAAAAAAAAATATTATTACAAATCACAAATCATAATTCAAATCAGGAAATGAATCTCTCTACCAAACATCACTTAAACAAATCTGCAAAATCATATAATGGTTTGATACATGAATTAAAATCATGTGATTAGAATTATTTTTAATTTATGTATATTTTTTGTGAAAAAAAATATTGTTACAAATCACGAATCATAATTCAAATCAGGGAACGAATCTCTCTACCAAACATCACTTAAACAAATCTGCAAAATCATATAATGAAGAAGATATGCTCGCGAAGATCAAAACGCTGACTATATAAAAGGCGGGAGCAGTTCGGCGTTGATCCGTTTGGCTCGTCTATCGCGGACCGTGCAGTTCCTTTACTTTCCAATTCTCGTACGTCTCTTTTTCCCATTTCCTTTTTTTTTTAATTTCCATTTTCTGTTTGTTTCCCTAGAAACACTCAAACTTAGCCAAACAGGTGAAAGTCCCCGGGTAGAGACGGAATATTGTTTGCATTTTTCCAAATTATTTGTTTTTTATTTATTTATGAAATTTTTAATCTTGAATTAGTTGTTTTGCTCTGATAAGTATATGTGCGATTCATTGAGAAGTCTATGATTTAGTTATTACTTTGATAAGATGAAAGCTATCCGATTATATACCGATTTCTGAGAAGATTGAAGTAGAGAAGAAAGGTAAAATTTTGGGTTTTACGTTTAGGTTGTTTAGGGCTTTCTTGGTAGTTTCCATTAGCTTGGGTTTGGGGTTTTTATTATTTTCAGTTCCAAGTAATGAGAAGTTTAGCTAATATTTTCCAGTTTTGTTTTGTTTTCTTACATACCCATGGTGGGATGATGCTTTATAGTTTTGTGGGTAAATCTTTAATGGGTGAGCTTTTAAATGATTTTGAGATGATTTGGTAAACAAATTGTTGCTTGAACGTTAAACTGTAGTAGTGAAGTATAATAAAAAAATGAGGGAATGTATGTCATGAATGGATTGCTGATTGCGGTTTCGATTTAAGTTTTCGGAGTTATTTGCTTGATACTCAACTATTAGTGGTTCACTTGGAAATGGCCGGAAACTGAAAATTTGGATGCAGAAGCAAACTTTGTCTTTTTTGGAGGTATAGGCAGCTTAGGTTTAGTAGTCAATTGTTTTCCTCAACGATTGTGTTGGTCTTTGATTTGGCATCAGGAGAGTGTCTTGTGAATTGTCAAACCGATACAACGGTATGAGTTTTGGCGTAACATTCAGTTCTGTGTTATTAGTTAGATAAGAGGAGTGGTATATTCTTTAGATAAAAGTTTATTTTGCAACTTGTAACAAGACATTGTAGGATATAACGTCACCATGGAATATCAAAGTTAACATCTCCTCTTGAGATGAAAGGGTGTTAATGAGTTTTTTGATACTATTAGATAATCGATGCCTGCCCTTGAATATTTGGTCAGGAACAAAGTTGTGACTTGTGATACTACAAATTAATAAACTGTGTTCGCTGAACCAAATGTTCACAAAATTGACTTCATTCCCATTGCAAGCCTTGCACTTTCCTAGACTTTGTCTTATTTTGATATCGGAACTTGTCTTATGGATGCCTCTGTAACGAAAGGTCATAGCATGGTCTTTTCTAGTCTTAAATTATTGTAATTTGCAAAGAGGAATGGCCTTTAATACTTAAGTATTTGGACAGGAAATATTGCCTGAAGTAATCTCTACACTCCATTCAACTCAACATGGATAGTGACAATGATTTCACATTTTGTAAGGCAAGTTTTGTTTTTCTACTTGAGTCAATAAGTTTATACAGTTTGTATCTGCTCATTGCTCCTGGTGTTTCAACTTGTTGGCGTGTTGTTCTCTTTAATGTGCTTGATCTTTGTTCTTTTCATACATCTTGATTTTCTTTGAATTATCTATGCTCATACTTAGGTTGACTCACCTGTTGACCAAGGTGTTTTTGAGACGACGAAACTTGCAGCTGATATAGACAGTATTAGCATAAAAGGTGAAGTATCAAGTGACAGTGCTAGTAATCAGAATGGCAGTTTTCTGTGGAAAGGCAATTTGCCAAATAATACCATATCCAAAAAGCAGGACACAGTTGGTTCCTCGTCTTTTAATGTTATTGATACCTCATCTCCCAAACAGTCGAGTAAACCGTCAAAACAGCCAGTGACAGGAGACAGTGGGAAGTTGAAGAAGCCTGTGGCTCGTGCCAAGGTTCCTTTTGAGAAGGGTTATAGCCAAATGGACTGGCTTAGGCTCACTCAAACACATCCTGATCTTGCAGGTACTTACTCAACACAATTTTGTGAGAAAATTGCGTCGCATTTCTTGTAATGTCTGTACGCTCTCGCTATGTTTTATGGTCATTGTTATGTGGTGGACTACTGACTATCCCCTGCTGATTTCAGATATTTTAGTACTTCTTCCTTTTTCCTTTTTCTTGTATTTCTATTTCTTAGTCAAATAGCACAACATATTGTGGCAGTTGGTAACGATGCAAGAGAAAGTGATATTGTCAATTGAAGAAAATTCTTTTAGTAGTATATGAGATCAGTCGACTTCTAGATTACTTTTCCACCTAATTGTTCTATAATCTCAACCCCTTAAAAACTCATTTATGTGAGACTTGGTGTTTTTTTCAAAGTTGAGATAGGATGGTCATTCTTGCTAGAAGGCTTAGTAGAGTTGAGTTCATTGGGCACGACCTATGATACATGACATACAAAGTTTATAAAATGACTTCTCATGTCTTTTGTGTCTGTTGCAATGTTCACTCAGATTAGCTTTGATTTTGTTAATGGTGGTTCAGGTTTAAAGGGACAGTCGAATAGAAGGCTGATTTCTATGAATGAAGTCAAACAACACCGACAAGAAGGTTCAATGTGGACCGTTCTAAAAGGCCGGGTATACAATTTATCTCCATACATGAGATTCCACCCTGGAGGTATGGATACTATTTCATTCCGATAAAAAGATTTCAGATTTTTACCACATCCGAATCTTTATGGTTCAATGTACAAAGTATTAGAAAGTATGATCAGCATATGTCTCTTCTCCAGGTGTTGATATGTTGATGAAGGCCGTCGGAAAAGACTGTACAGCTTTGTTCAGTATCCTTATCTATTGACATAATATTCTAGTCTTTGGATTCTGGTACTATATTTGTCACGTTTTTGTTCCTTTTATCAAAGTACTACCAGGAAATGTTGTGATCCTAAATTTTACCAGATAAATACCATGCTTGGGTAAATGCTGAATTCTTGCTGGAAAAGTGCCTTGTCGGTATCTTGGACGACGGCGAAGGACATCAACCTCCCAATGACAAGGAGCACTAGCTCGTTAATTGGTTCAGAAATGCAGACGCCGATTTTTTTGCTGAGAGGTTATACCTACTCTATACTTCAAACGAATTTATTGGCTGTTCTTATAGTTATGAATGAGCCTATTACAGATTATGTTGCACATTAGAGTATGATTGTTTGCACAGCAATAAGTTATAAATGCTCGAATTTTACGTTCGGATAGCCAGTGTAAGATTTTTACTGATTGTACAATATACTCCGTACTTTGAACAAATTTATTTACTTATAAAATTATAGAATATTTGATATTGCATAAGATGCAGGGGTTTTATTTCATATATTAGGACCATTCTTTATTTATTTTTATTTAATCAATTAAGGGAAAAAGGGGAAGTGCAGATAAATAAAAGAATAAAAAATAGGAAGGAAAATTAATCGTAGAACCAAAAACCCCTGATATCAGTTTAAGGAAGTGAAACCAATTAAACAACAGAACAAACGACAAAGAAAGAAACGAAAGAAGGGTGGACCTACGACAACAGTAAAACGACAGCCAATAAGAAAAGAATGAGTAACTTAACCGTGAAAACGACAGCCAATAAAAAAAGAATGAGTAACTTAACCGTGAAAACGACAATAACTTCAGAAGCGATAACAATTCGTAACAAAAAATACCATAAACGACAAGATAAGAAGTTGAAAAAGCAGCACAGATGTTCCGAGGAAATTGAAAAACGACAAGAAACTGAAACATCAAGAAGGTTAAAAGGACAAACCATGACTTCAGAAGCGATAACAATTCGTAACAAAAAATACCATAAACGACAAGATAAGAAGCTGAAAAAGCAGCACAGATGTTCCGAGGAAATTGAAAAACGACAAGAAACTGAAACATCAAGAAGGTTAAAAGGACAAACCATGAGAACTATAAGAGACATAGAAAACCACAACAAGAAACGACAACAAATTAATCAAAATGAGGGAAAAAAGACCCAAAAGTTAAACAACTATAAAAGGGACCCTTGAAACGACAGTACTTAAAAACAACAACTAGGAAATCGTCAACAATTTGAAAGGACGACAACTAGAAATCGATCAAAAGGTGAACGTTTAAAAAAAAAAAGAAAAAAAGGGAGAAGTAGGAGACAAATACCCCAAGTTTTTTATTTTTAACTTTTACACTTAATTAATATCCTTTAGTTAAAAAAAATATATCAATAAAAGAGTGAAGGGTAAAAATCTTAGAATAACGCATGAGTTCATCAATCTTCTAAAAAAAAGAACGGCGACAAGGAATTTAACATAAACTTTGGGGGAAAAAATCAAACGACAAAACATGAAAAGAAAAAAAATTGAGAAAACTACTAGAAGAGTGAAAGACGACAAAAATTCAAAAGGGCATCAAATAGTTGAGAAAATGATAAGGAACAATAAGGAAGTAAAATTCTGAAAAGACAGCAAATGAAAAAAAGGTGAAAAATTAAAAGGCATCAAACGACAATATGGCAGCGTGGAACGACAACCACTAAGAAAGTGGTATCAAGAAGAAAACCACGACGGGTTGAAAAAGGTCAACAAAAACGACAGTACAATACATAAATCTTAAAGTCTTTATTTTATTTTATTTTATTTTATTTTTTTTTTTTTTTTATTTTTCAGGTGTTGATATGTTTACAAAGGCTGTGGGAAATAATTGTACAGCTTTGTAAGTATCCTTTTTCTATTGACATAAATATTCTAGTCTTTAGATTTTGGTATTATAGTAGTAGCATTTTTGTTCCTTCTATCCAATAAATACCATTTAAGTATTGTGATCCAAAATGTTATCTGATAAATATCATGCTTGGGTATATGCTGAATTCTTGATGGAAAGAACTAGGCTATCATAGATTATGTTGCTTTGCACATTGTGTTTGCTTACACAACATTTACTTATAGATGTTCGAATTTTTTACATTCAAGTATCAGGCAGCGTAAGATTTTTACTGATTGTACAATAAACTTTATATTGAGAGCAATTTTATTTATATTGAGATTTCCTCAATAATTTTATTTTAGTGTACTAAATGATGTCTAATAAATTATATTATGGTACATCATTTTATAAATATTCTCCATTGATCCTGTTTTCCATGAATCAGAAAATGATAACAATGTTTTGCTTATTACTATAGTCAATAAAGTAGGAGTTGGAGATAGTTGAACTTGATCGATTCATATTCAACAAAAAGTGGGTTCAATTACAAGAATTTGAACCAAAAATATCAAATGTGAAGCTTAAAACATAAAAGTTCTATATTTATTTTATCAATTTAAATTTTATTACAGTAACAAATTTTAAAAATTTTTACATTTAATTTTTTTTATTATAATAAATTTTTTTTTTAACATAAAATTACATTTTAATTTAAATTAAAAATTAAATTAACAAATTAAAAACTTTCCGGCAGGAGACACGTATATTAGAAAGAAACAAATTCCTTCTCAAAAAGACGAAAATGGAAAAAACGTTGATTGACATTTAACACTGACAACATATTGCTAATTTAAGGTCTGTTCATTTTGTTAATTTGAATTTGTAATTTGAGTTGAGATTATTTTATGTGAAAATTTTTTATTGTAATAAAAAAGTTTAATGTGATTATTTCTGAAAATTTTTTACTATAATAAAATTTAAATTCTAAACTCAAATGAGTGAAATTAACGGAAGCTTAATTTGGAGACAGCCAGCAGTGCCGAGCTTTTTGGTGGGATCCTGTCTACTTTATCTCATAAAGCCTTTTCGTTTTTATTTCACTTGCCAATAATTCAGCCAACAAGATATACACATATACATATATACATATATTAAATAATTAAAATGATGATAGTAATAAACTGAATAATTAATTAAAAATTATATTTTTATTACATTATATCATTAAATTTTTATATTTAAAATTGATGAAAAATAATTATTAAAAATTTGTCTATATAAATATATATATATATGTTAAAGAATGGGAGACCTGATAGTGGTGTGAATGGACCCTCCCACTGCATACTCACTTTAGGAATAGTTCTAAAAGTAATGGGGTCATAAATAATTCAATCCATATTATTTTTTCTTCTCTCTGTTTAACTCAGCAAAAAAGTATTATTAGTGGTGTCATTTGAAATTCCGTTTTGCTGACAAAAAGTATTATTAGTGGTGTCATTTGAAATTCCGTCGAATGTGGTCAAGCTACTGCATGTTGCTTACAAGCTCTTCAATAGATTTAAAGGACTGATTGTCGGCTTCTTTTTTACCACAAAAGACCGAGAATCGAGCAGGAAATTGTTCTTGAAAATTGACCATTAGTGTTCGTTTGGTTCGTGTATTCAGAATTATGATTTAAAATTATTTTTATTTTACGCGTATTTTTTATGAAAAAAAATACTATAAAGAATCATGAATCACGATTCAAAATCAGGGATGAATACATGAAACAAACGGGCTATAAGCTGCCTTTAGATTGATAGAATACGAGCTTAGCTTCATGTTCCAAGTTCTTCACACCAAGGCGGTTGTGGTTCGCAATAGAACAGGGAACATCTTTCGCAAGTTTTATAAGACGTTTGGTTCATGGATTAGAATTATTTTTAATTTACGTGTGTTTTTTATGAGAGAAAATACTGTAGCGAATCATGAATCATGATTCGAATCAAGAGACGAATCCCCCAACCAAACAAAATTAGTTTCTCATTCCTATTGGGTGCGTCCGTGTTGAAAAGCCGGGAATCGGTAGAATTGAAATCATCCTGACTTAGAATATGTTTATTTCACTGATTTGAGTTTAAAATTTGAGTTTTGTTATTGTAAAAAGCTTTTAGAAACAGTTACATTTAAATTTTGTATTATAATATAAAATTTTCAAATAAAATTACATCTCAACTCAAATTAAAAACTCAAATAAACGAACTAAACGATCCTATGCATTGCTCATTGGAGCCATTTTCCTTGATTCCATTTCAATCACAAGATCATTTTCATCGACCGATTAAAAAAAAATCTGTTGTTAAGACATACAACAACCTCAATATTTTAGTAATGAAAGGGAAAAATAAATGAAAATCCTATTCTCGATCGTCCCATTGAATGAAGGAAAAAAAAAAGAGTAATAGAAAAAAAAAAAATGAAAGTTAAAAGCTAGCATCAAGTTAACATATCATAAAGCATCCAACTGTGAAACGAATGATATTTTTTGTTGAAAAAATGCCAAGAAGAAAAAAGAAAAAATTAGAAAATATAGCTGGCCAGCAAAACACAAGATATTTTGGGCTCGTTTAGTTCGCTGATTCGAGTTGAGATGTGATTTTATGTGAGAATTTTTAACTGTAATAAAAAAATTAAATGTAATTATTTATGAGAACTTCTTACTATAATAAAATTTAAATTTTAAACTTAAATCAACAAAATAAAGAGAACCTTTCTCATTTGGGTCTCATTGAACGGTGATGGGACAAAAAGGAAAAAAAAAGAAAAAAAAAAAAGAAGTAGAAGTTAGAATCTTTTTGCTCGAAAAGATTTCAAAAAGAAAAAGAGAAACAACTGGCGAGAAGGCTATTGATATGTCAACATCAAATTTATAGTATTTAAGTGAAAATATGATTTCCAATATAATGCTATATTTTTTCATGTTAAATTTAATAAATATTATAATAGTTGACGTTAGCTTTGCATTAAAATGATCTAATCACAACATAATGTGAACAATAAGACGTTATATTCGTAAAACAAATGCTTTTCTTTTCTGGCTCCGTTTATTTTGCTGATTCGAGTTTACAATTCGAGTTTTATTACTGTAAAAAACTCTTACAAACAATCACTTCTAACTTTTTTACTACAATAAAAAACTCTCACATAAAATTACATCTCAACTCAAATTAAAAACTCGAATCAACGAACTAAACGGACCTATATTATCTTTCATTGCTACCTGTTTAGAAAAATATATGTGTTTATTGTTTCACACGAAAGTGAATAAAGATATAAAGTGATTTATATACATACAAAAATTTTAAATTTAATAAATTAATTTTTTAGGTTAAGTTAAGTTCTTAAAATGTGTTAGGTCAGTTTTACATATAGAATCTTCTTAATAAGTGATATCATAATCGATAGTTTATATAGATCAAATGATCATACTCAATTACAGTTCGCACGTTGCCTCTCATAGAGAGTTGGTATTTTCGTAGTTGGTGTTGGTGTAGATGCGGATGGTATAGCATTTGGTGGACTCTTTTTCATATTTAAGTTGACTCCTGTTTAGAGTATGATGCTTAGATATACCGACTATTAAAAACTTTAGTTTAAGAGAGAGCTCGGTGAATACATATATAAAGAAGAGATTATTGAAAAAAATACATATATAAAGAAGAAATTAAAATTTTAAATGTGTTGGATCAATGTCTTCTTAACACTACCTCTTCTCTCTGCTTGCTTTCTTTCACAGTTTCAATTATGGCGGAACTGAATCTCTCCGTTGTTGCGAATCACATCCTTTGATTGTTGCACTCTGAATACAGTCAGTGCCTTAAGCTTAAGGTGTTGATATTGGACGAGATCACCGATCTGAGATACGTCGAGAACGAACCCGTTTCATCATTGACTACATTCTTTCCATCTCTGCAAGAACTCTGGTATTACAGAAATAGAGATTTTGTATATAAAGAGTAGTCTTGTAAATAGCTATAAGATTTTGTTTTTTATCTTTTCTTTCCTTTGCCGAGCTGGAGGTTGGTGTATGTACTGTTCTCTTGGTCATTTCTTCGTTCAATGAGAATTCGTAATTTTCTCAAAAAGACTTTCCTTTGCTTTTGTAATGGCTCACGATAATGCCTAACCTAACATTCAAGTCAATTCTGAAAATTTGCCTTCATTTCCTTGTCTTGCTAGATTAGTGATCGAGGATTGCTCAAAGTTGGATTCAGTGCCATTTTTTTCCCAACTCTTGAACAAGGATTAGTGCTGGACTCTACTTGCTGGAGTCCATTCCAACTCACGGTGAAGCACAGACCAAAACCCGTACGCTCGAATAAATTAATTGTGAGTTTCTTTTTGCTGGAGCTTGAGCTTGAGGTTGAGCAGTAGTTGATTTCAGTTTTTCTTACGCTTTAGTTACTTTCAATGGCGGCGGACATACCGAGCATGATCATCGTTTTGAAGCAGATGTCTGAGTTGGTGGGATCTGAAGCCATGAAGGAGAGAGCTTTAGATGACTGTCTGAAACTAGAAAGCATCATCTCAGATCTAATATTTGTTTTACAGAGAGTACAGCAGCAGCCGTATATGAATCTGGAGCGGGTTGAAGATGCAGTTTATGAAGCTTATGACTTTCTGGACGATTGCTTAGCAGTGGTTTCTTCTGGACGTCGAAGAAGAAGAGTCGCGTCTCCAAACAAAAATATTAACATAGCCACAAAGGTAGGCAGTTTCTTCTCACTTGCCTCCTCAAACCCAATTGTTTTTCGGCACAACATGGGTTACGCAACGAAGAAACTCAGGAAAGCTCTTCAACGAAGTGTGGCGCTCACAAATATTCGAGTTCATGCGGATGTGATAAGGGCCGCATACCTGTTTGCAGAGGCCGGAAAGCAGCTACCGTCATATCCACATGTAAAGGATGAAAACATCATTGGGAGGGATTTGGACAAAGGGCAAATCATGAAACTTGTTCTCGAAGCTGCAGATATTGAATCAACTGAACAGAATCCTAGGGTCGTTCCTGTCGTTGGCTTTAAAGGAATAGGAAAAACAACCCTTGCTAGGCTTGTTTACCAGGAACCGGTGGTCAGAGAATGTTTTGATCTGAGGATGTGGGTTTGCGTTGAAGATCGATTTGATGTTAGATTTATCGTCTTGGGTCTTATGGGTTCTGTAGAACGTGAGCGCCTTGATTATCTTCAGATGGATCAATTGCAAAAGGAACTCCGGAAAACAATAAATGGAAAGAGATTCTTCGTTGTGCTAGATGATGTGAGGGATATAAGTCGGGAAAGTTGGCTGAGCTTAAGAAACCTGTTAGTGGGTGGTGCAGAGGGTAGCACGGTGTTAGTGACTACCCGCAGTGAAAAGGTTGCTAACATCGCGCGCACAGTTGCTCAATCCTATCACTTGGGTCGTTTGAACAATGCAGACTCTCGGCTTCTACTAAAAAGAGCAGCTTTTCATACAAATGATGGAGAGGAGGAGGTCCAAGCATTCGAGGAAATAGGGAGACAAATTGCAGCAAAATGCGAGGGAGTTCCTCTTGTCATATGGTGTGTTGGGTCATCACTGCGTTTAAAAGGTGTTGATGAGTGGCAGAGTTTTGATGCTAAGGAGGAAATTGCTCGAGTAAGGAGAAAGTACGACGAAGAAAGTGACAATAAACAGACTAAAGTAGCGAGTGGAATGAGGGAGACTCACTCTTTTGTACCTCAGGAAGAGATTATTGGGAGGGACGCTGACAAGGAAGCAATCATGGAACAGTTGTTGGCACACAGTTCTGAAGAGAATGAACTAATGGTCATTGCCATAGTTGGCGCTGCAGGATTAGGGAAAACAGCCCTCGCACAGCTCATTTTCAATGACTCCCGGGTCCAAGACCATTTTGATTTAAGCATCTGGGTGTGTGTCACTGAGGACTTTGACTTGAAAAAGATTATGATGAATATTATTGTATCAGTGACAAGTAAAGACCCAGGTTACCCGGAATTGGAAGAATTAGCACGTGATATTCATCAAGAAATACTTGGAAAGAGGTATCTCCTCATACTTGATGATGCGTGGAATGAGGATCATGAAAAGTGGTCGCGTTTATTATCCTTTTTATCTTCCGGTGCAAATGGAAGCAGAGTAATTGTAACTACACGTAATGAAAATGTTGTAGTAAATCTGGCAAGCGAAAAGCATACGCATCGGTTGAAATCTCTAGACGAGGCCAGTTCTTGGTCTTTATTCGTGAAAACAGCCTTTGAGAAAGGACAGCAACCAACTAACTCCAACATTATAAAGATTGGAAAGGATATTGTAGCAAACTGTGGTGGAATGCCTCTTGCCATAAAGACAATAGGAGGGAGATTGTATTTTAAAAATTCGGAAACAGAGTGGCAGTCATTCTACGAGAAGGAACTCCCAAAGATATTAAATACTGGAGCAGATATGCTAGCATCTCTTATGTTGAGTTATGATGACCTCCCATACTTTCTGAAGGCGTGTTTTTTTTATTGTGGTCTATTTCCTAAAGATTATGAAATCGACGTGCAAACACTCGTAAACTTGTGGATGTCACTGGGTTTTATAATAAAGCCGAATCCAGATTTAAATCTCGAGGACGTGGGTTATGGGTATTTTGTTGATTTACTTCGAAGATCATTCTTTCAAGAAACTATGCGAGATGAGCAGGGCCGTATAACAAAATGCAAAATGCAAAATTCCATGTGTGATCTTGCCAGGTCAGTAGCTCAGAATGTATGTGCAACTATTGGTATAAAGGGGGGAATTAATGGTGCAAAATCTCGTCATGTATCATTTGATTTTCATTTAGATTCATCCTGGCATATTCGTTTGTTGGCTCAATCAAAAAGGATCCAAAGCTTGATTTTGCCTACGCAATTACGACAGGAAGTTGAAGGGAGATCAAGTGAGTCGGTTTGTGAAGAAGTTACAAAATTTAAGTACTTACGCATGTTGGATTTGCATAATTCAGGGATCAAGGTCGTGTCGGATTCTATTGGTGATTTGAAGCATCTGAGGTATCTCGATCTTTCTCAGAATTTGAATATCAAGGCATTGCCAAATTCTATCGGTAAGCTGCACCATTTGCAAACTTTGAAACTCAATCATTGCAGTAATCTTCAGAAGTTGCCAGGAGCCATTAGAAAGTTAGTCAATTTGAGAAATCTCGAAAACGAGTCCTGTTATTGCTTGACCCATATGCCACAACGACTCAGTCAACTTTCTAATCTCCAGACATTATCGGAATTCGTATTGAGCAAGGGCATTTGCTCTGCCTCCAATCAGAGTGCTAAGCTTGATGAACTTGCGGAACTCAATGAATTGAGAGGCAAGCTCAAAATTAAAAACTTGAGCTGCTTGGGAGGTGATGAGACAACAAGAGCAAGGTTGAAAGAAAAGCAGTATCTTCTATCCTTGATCTTAATTTGGGATATTGATGCTGTTAATGTAGAATCTGATTATGAAAAGTTACTGGAAGATCTTCAGCCGCATCCAAATCTCAGAGAATTGTCTTTATCTGCTTATGGAGGGGTTAGGTTTTCCAGTTGGCTTCCTCAACATGAAAATCTTGTGAAATTTTCTTTATCCAGATGCAGAAAATGTCAATGCCTACCGCCACTACATCGCTTACCTCGTCTTGAAGTGCTGTTGGTGGATGAGTTGCCGGAGCTAGAGTACATTTCTGACAAGAATGAATCAGGAGCATTCTTTCAATCCCTCAAAGAGCTGCAACTTACGAATTTGCCAAAATTAGCGCGGTGGTGGAAACGTGCAGCTGGTGATGAAAAAACGACATTTTCACGTCTGTCTAAGCTGATCATCAAGGATTGTCCCAGTCTAATTTCCATGCCACTGTTCCCATGTTTAGAAGAACTATTAGTGCTGAAAAATACCAGAGGGGAGCCTTTCCAAGAGACTATTGCAGCACGTCGAATTCCAAGCACAACATCTGAAGCATCATCATCTACTTCCTCAACAACCGTCCCTCCCTCAGTCCCTCTCTCCAAATTGAGGACTCTATGCCTCATCAACATGCCCAATGGCGGTCCGAAAATGTGGCAGTCCCTTTCAAGCCTCCGTTCTGTAACACTCGATCATCTTCAAGATATAAAGACTCTCCTTGAAGGGCTTGAGCAAGTAACCAACCTGCAAGAACTCCATGTTTGGCGTTGTGATAGTTTGGAGGAGATAAGTTGGCTCAGCAAAATCAGATCACTCAGGATACTTTCACTGAGGCTGTGCCCCAATTTGACGATACCTCGTGATAGAATTAGCCTCATCACCTCCTTACAGAAGGTGGAGATTGAGGAATGCCCTCGGATTTCTCACATCGAACGCATGCTTGAGGATCGCTTATACAGGCAATAATTCAGAATCCGCAGCTTCTTTAGGTATTGCTGCTCTTCTTTTCTTTTTCTTTTATTTATGAAGTGCTAATTAACTCTGTCATCCCCTTTGCCAACGTTTGAACAATTTGTGTGCTTTGCAGTCTTAAATTTAATTTACTCGGGCCCTGAATAAAAGATTTAATGAAGGTCCTGAAGGTAACCATTCTCTTTCGCATAACTCATGCTTTGTTTTCATTTTACAGCAATTCCATCATTTTCCTAGCGATATGTCTCTATGATTGTTATTATCCTGGCTCAATTGTTAACTTTTGTTCAGGAAAAACAAAAATAACTGTCAATCTTTTGTTAAAAGTGATTCTTTTATTTTATTTTTATTTTTATATATTTTGCAGCTCCATCCAACAATCTCGATCACCCCTTTAATATCAGTTATAATTAAGTTAGCATTTCTTTTCTTCAGAAAGAGAAAATAGAATGGGAAAAAAGAGTTTTGTCCTAAGCATGAGTCTCTTCAACATTTTTTTTATGAGCCTTTTGGCTTTGTGACTTGTAATTCTTGTTTCTTCTTCAAGACTTTCACTACATTACTACTTTTGGACTCTACATGAATCATGAAAAATCAATAATAATTATAATAATGTGATTGATTTTTCACAAGGTTACATTTGGAGCCTTGGTTATTTATAAGTTGCATTTATGTTGATAACCCTTTGTTTGATCTCAAACCAGGATGTGAGTTGCTGCAATTTTCGTGTACGTTCTGCTCGTTAGGTGGTCCTCTCTGTTTCAAAGAACAAGCAGGGTCCTTTGGAAGTATGTGTTTGTTTGGTCATCACGAATTGCTCGCAGTCGGATTCTCTCGAAGATCATGCACTCTTTTTTCCTTGTCTAGTTTTTTTCTCACTGGGTTTTTCCTAGCAAGATTTTTAACCAGGCATCCTCTTCGTTTCTTTACAAGAGGATTAGATCTTGTGGAGTTTCATGCAGATGTGAATCTAGGACAATATTTTTGAGATTTCAGTAATTGTTTTGTTTCGTGATCTAGGCACATGTTAGATTATCTTTGTCATTTGTATTTGCATTTACCCCGACTTCTAGCTGTATTTTGAACCTTGTAATTTGCTTTGCCTTCTTTCGGTGAAACTAGTTTGAGCACGTGCACAATACGTGCGGATTCAGTTTGTTGAATAGTTGTTATATGCATAGATGATAATTTTTTTTAAAGAGAAAAATTCAGTTGTTCTTGTTGATTTATTAGTTTTAAGAGTTTAGTAAAGCTATCTAATTAATTAATAAGAAAGTAAAATTTAAAAAATAAAACATTGAATATTCATCAGACAAGTTTGCATAAAATTAATCATAAGAAAAGTAAATAAATAAAATTTATATATGGATCAATCCGTCAAATGTAAGTTATTGAAGCAATGAAACTCAAATCTTTTGGAGAAAGTAAAGCTTGTGATAAATATAAATGAAAATAACTGTAGATAAATAAAGTGACAGGATATTCAAAACAAAAGAAATAAAATGGTAGTGAAGAAAAAGAAACAAATGGTGGCATGTTTTTTTTTTTTTTTTTTTTTTTTTTTTTTTTTTTTTTTTAAGACAAAGAGATGAAATAACTTAGATATTAAACGAATGTACATTGAAATAAATGTTTTTAAGTAGAACAAATTTCACAAATACTACTAAAAACAAGAGATATTAGTGCATGCGTATTAGAGAGAAAAATTACTTAGGTACATAGAAACGAGTATTTGAGTGGAATAGAAAAAAGAAAAAAAAAAAAAAAGAGTAAGTCATGGCACATGTGAGAAAAAATATTTTAGTGGAAGAACCAAAAGGTTTTTACAACGGTCGAATTTGAATAAAGAATAAAATTTTAAAGAACGGTAAGAAAAATATACATATTTTGTGTCGCATTTTGTATTATATAATGATATAATCATTATTTTGATGATATTAAATTTTACTATTCTTCTAATATTTTATAAATTTGACTATATTTACCTTCATTATATCACTTGATACTTTTTATTTTTTAAATAAAAGATGAAGATCGGTGGTGCCTCTGAGGCTCCAGTCCAATAATCACTTGATAATCTATTGGAACTACAAACTAAAAATAAAGGAACTAGTCCATGCTTGCTAGGCTGAAAGAGGTTAAGTTCAATCTAACTCCAGATAATGAGAATCAATTCCTGAAAGCTAAATATGAGAAAGTCCTTATAGTTGTCTTTCGCTACTATGCCAACACTACTGGTTGTTGGATTGAAGCCAATACAAGACTCTAAAATCGGAAGGAAAGATGAACAATCAACACACGAGTTTTATCGAGATTCAGGCAAAATGATTTATCTTACGTCCCCGTTGAGCTCTCTCACAAGAAGCTCTTCCACTATTAGATCAAATATTACACCCTCACAACTCACAATCTTAGAGAGACTAACAATCTGTCCGAAAGAACCAATTACAAGAACAAGGATCCCAAGAACGTTCCAAAGAAGAAACTAAAAAACCCTAGAAAATCTCTAATTTTCTCTCAATACCCAAAACACCCAAATCCTCTCTTTCTCTCTCTACAAATTGCTTTCAACTTTCTCTCAGAAGTGAACCGAATAGTCTCGAAGAATATATATATTAGAAGTACAAGTGGCCTGCACCGACTCATCAAAGCCATACACGTGTGCATCTGGGATTGGCTGTTCACTAACTCTTACTCTTGCAAAACGGTAAGTCGTTTTCATCTAATAGGAAAGCTGCAAGTTTTACTTGGAATTACTCCTTCACTGGTAGTATAAATTATTACTCAATTCTCGTAGAAAAAGACGGATTGAACCTTGCAAGAACCGAGAAAAAGAAAAGTGCAGAGAAAAGCTTTAATATTTCTTATATTTTTATTTTCCACAGCTATTACTTTTTTTTTTTTTCCTTCTTCCTTTTGGCTTCAACTTGTTCGCTTGTAGGGCCTTCGCAGAAAGACATGTATTTATCAATTGAAGCTAATGTTGCAATACAAGTCAAGCACCAGTCAAGAATGAATGAAATGCACTACTAAAATATAGTAATTCTTCTTTACTTATTAATTTTGTCTTCTTATATATGCAAGTTTTGTTATCTTATCTTATGAATTCACCTTGAAACTCTCTCTCTCTCTCTCTCCCTCCCTCTCTCTCTCACTCACCCTCCCTCTCTCTCTCTCTCTCTCTCTCTCTCTCTCTCTCTCTCGTTTCCTCTTTCCTCCTCACCCTCATTCTCTTTCGTGTCTGTCTATATGATTAACTGGGATTTGGTCTGAACATGAAACTACCCATCATCCCAAAAAAGGTCAAGAAGCTATGGGATGCTTGGGATCTGCGTGTGTGCATCATCACCAGCCTCTCACTTCAGGCTTTCCTTCTGTTGTTGGCACCCTTTCGACAGCGGTCGACAAGCGGTCTGCTCTTCAAGTCTGTGTGGGCCACATACTTGCTCGCGGACTGGATCGCTGCTGTCGCCATCGGACTCATCACCAAGAGCCTCGGCGACCCGAATGACCCCGAAAACAACGACGACCTTTTCGCCTTGTGGGCCTCATTTCTCTTGATGCATCTCGGCGGTCCCGACGGCATCACTTCTCTGTCTCTTGAAGACAATGAGTTGTGGCTCAGGCATTTGTTCGGATTCTTTTTACAAGTTTTCTCTGCTCTTTATAGCTTGTATCTGACACTTACTCATAACAAGCTGTGGTTTCCTTCTGTCCTTGTGTTTATTGGAGGAAGCATTAAGTTTGCAGAGAGAACTTGGGCTCTCCGTCTTGCGAGCTTGGACAGCTTTGGAGAAACTGCTTTGCCAGATCCCAACCCTGGGCCCGACTATGAAGAGGCTGTGGCAGAGTACTCTGTGATGATGTCCGCACAGTTTTCGACCGTGTCAGGAGGAGGACGAGGGCGAGGAGGAGGAGGAGGCGTTGGAAATATTTTAAGCGAACCCAGTTCTGCGCTAGAAGGATCGGTTCAGCAAAAATTAGATGAGATGAAGCAATTAGAAGTGGCGTATTCCCTCTTTGAAAGCTTCAAGGGACTAATTGTAGGCCTCCTTCTAAGCTCCAAAGACCGAGACTCGAGTCGGAGTTATTTTCTCCAAGAAAACCCGATTCGCGCTTTTAGATTAGCGGAGTACGAGCTGAGCTTCATGTACCAAGTTCTCCACACGAAGTCCGTTGTGATACACACCATACTTGGGTATGTCTTACGCTGTATTAGCTTTTTTTCCACTCTTGGTGCGTCTTTGTTCTTTATTTTTGTTGACAAGAGCGGGTTTGGTAAGTTCGAGGTCGTGGTTACTTACGCCTTGTTCCTGGGAGCCATTGTCCTTGACGTCATCTCTATTGCTAAGCTTGTCTTTTCGGACTGGATCCTCTTGTTCTTCAAGGATAGTCCTATCATTAAACATGTTCCCGCTTGGATTTTGAAAAGATCAAGGTGGTCTGGCTCTGTGTCACAACAGAACATGATAAGCTATTGCCTACCACCTGCCATAAACTTCCCATTCCGCGGAGAGTTGAATAGCTACCGTCGCGTTTATGGTGTTACTGAAACGATCAAAATGATGTTGCGCAATTTCTCACCGTCGGAGAGGGTGCCACAATATCTGAAAGTGTTTGTTGTAAATGAGCTGAAGAACAAATCCAAGAATGCAAGCAATCCAAGAGATGCAATGGAGGCGTGCTCGCAGAGAGGACATTCGGCTCTCTCGCAGAGCACTTCTAGCTATATCAAGCTTAAGTGGAGTGTCGGAGAGTTCCAATATGCGGAAAGCCTTCTTCTCTGGCACTTAGCCACAGAACTCTGCTACCATGAGCATGCCAATTCAAGTGCCGATTCGGGGAAAGATAAAACAATTTATAACCTCCTTTGTCAACGTAGTTGTGGATCAAGTGTTCATCAAGTCCTCAAACTTACGCAACTTCTTCGTAAATCATGCCTTCTTTGCAGCGCAGATGTATCAAGTGATGGTTCGAACGAGGTTGTTGATTTTAAAAGAACTAGCAAGATTCTTTCAGATTACATGTTCGATCTTCTAGTTTCCAAGCCAGCAATGTTGGCCCCGGTTTTAGGAAACTGGAGAGTAGTCTTCCAAGACACTCGTGCCGAGGCCAAGAGGTTCTTCAAGAAGCACAAGCTATCGTGCCATTCGCAAGCCTGCAAGAGGATTTCTTTAGCTAAACCAAAAGTCAGATCCTCTGCTGTGAAGGGAAACAGAAGCAAGTCCGTTCTCTTCGACGCGTGTATCCTCGCACAGCAGCTCCAGAAGGAGGCAGAGCAGTGGGAGATAATGAGCAGAGTTTGGGTGGAACTCATGTCATACGCAGCCATTAATTGTAGGCCTTTTGTGCACGCGCAGCAACTAAGCAAAGGAGGAGAGCTTTTGACATTCACATGGCTGCTGATGAACCACTTGGGCTTGGGATCGCAGTTTGCCGAGCAGGAACTGCAATCTGGAACGAAAATGGAGACAATCATAGAGTAATTAGTGTGAGTTGACATGTTAAACAGATTAAGATCTCTAACACATGAACTTGTCAAAGGTTTTATATAACTTGGGGTTAGAGAAATGTGTAGGCTATGTAGCTTTACTTCAAAAGGAGGCAACTCTTTTGTAGTGAAGTGAATTACCAATAGCATTCATATGTATACAGATATCAGCATGAAGTCCGTTCTTCCTACTTTTAAAGTCCTCTCTTTTATTCTTATTTCTTTCACGAAATGTAGTATATTGATTTGGCTTTGTTTGCGTGTAAGTGCTAACAATTAGACGCCCTAATTCTAGTTATCGAGAGGACTAAAATCGCAATAAAGAACTCAAGCAAGATCGCACACATAATTTTTAAATGTTCACATCAATGTGAGACTACGTCCTCTTTCAGTCGAGGAATCCGCTGCATAAGGCAAATTGTCAAGGCAATTAATTAAACTCCGCAACTTATCACCACAAGTTGAAATTTCATATAAGCTTAAATTCTATTTATCCAAAGTGAAAATGGAGCTCAATCTTGAATTTTATATATGACAATCTGCTTCATGTTCTAATAACAAGCATAATGTTGGCCTTTTTCATCTTAAGCTTCTGAAGAAGTGAAAATTTCCGTGACGCATTAGTACCTTTCTTTCTAAATTCTCAAAACTAATACGTGGGCTTCTACATTAGGCCCTATCTTTTATTCGGCCGAAAGAGAGAGAAGAAAGCGTTAGCCGCCTTTGAAATTTATTTTAAAACAATTTTATTTTTTATATGAAAATAAAAATAAAAATATTTTTAATCTCAGATAAAAATTATTTTTAAAAATACGTTTGATAGTTTTATTAAAAGATTATTTTCACTTTAAAAAAAATCCATTAATGTCTTTATTTTTTTCTCTGCTCGAGAGAATAAGA